CAGGTGTCTGGGGGATGCTGCTCCATCTCCAGGGTGGCAGGACACGTTTTGCTCCTGGCGTCAGCTCCCAGTCTCCTGGCGGTGCTGGTGCTGGGGGGGGCATGCTGTTTTGCAGCGTTGGAGGGGGACCCTCCTGGGACCGTGGGGGTTTGTGCAGCGCCGAGCACTAAGGGTTGCATTTGTAGGGTCTACCACGCTCCTGGCCGCTGGTAGGTCTCGTGGGACTGGCTTTGGGGTGATCCGGGTGGCACACTGCTGCATGCTGGTGGACCCCCATACACTGTCCGGTGCATCTGTGTCTTGTGGTGGCACGTCATGCCGGGTGCCGGGCGGAGGAGGTAGCCTGTGTCCTTCCAAAAAAGCCCATGATGCCTCCTGCCACTGTGGAGGTTGGGCTTTGCAGGTAACCAGAGCGCAGGGGTCCACCTGGGACCGGCCACGTGGGATGCAGCCATCCTGGAGATCTCATCCCTGACAAGGACCAGTAGATGCTATCAGGTTATGAAAGGTGTTCAGTTTCCACAAGGTCTTATAATGAGATCCCGTGGCATGTTTTGAGCCTCTCGCCCAGCCCTGGACCCTGGTTCTGCCACTGCCCATCCTGTCCCCATGCTTGGTGTCACTGCTGGTGTGGGCTGGATGTCCACAGCAGGTTTGGGCCACATACTCTTTGGAGCTGTCTGGAAGGGAAGGTGTTAGAGAGGGCTCAGGTTTCATGTTTCCGTTGTTAATTGATCTCAGGCTTCCTGCGTTAATTGCTTTGGTTGTTAAGGGAGGCTACTCGCTATTTGCTGCTGCTGCCTTGCAGTGAGGAGCTTCTGGCTTTGTCCCAAGCTGGGGGTAAGACACCTTGGTCCCAGCTCAGTGCTGAAGTACAGGGGTCTGATGAGACCCTGGAGTACCTGAGACATCTGCATGGGGCTGGCAGATGTGATGCAGCAGCCCTAAGCGAAACCCAGAGGCGTCTGGTGTGGCAGCTGGAGGCCAGGTGGGATAACCCAGAATGTGGGGAACCAAAAACCCTCCCCCAGGCACGGAGGTTACCAAAGCTCATGCAAAGGGACTGAGAGGATGACTCTGGCCTGCTTCTGGCTGCATCTTCAGCTCCTGTCCCTTCTGGAGATGTTGAAGACCCCAGCAAGGAGGCAGTAACATCCCAGCCACCTTCTTCGTGGTCTGGTCTTCACAGAAGAGGGTGACCTGAAGTCACTGCTCACTCACACGTGCGGTGCTGGCACCTCCTGCATCTCTCTGGGAGACTGTTTGCATTGCGGAAGCAGTCTGTGCTGGAAGATGGATGTTTTATCACCATTGAAACACTCATCCTTGCAGAGTCACCTTTTGGGAGAAACCCCCACACCTTAGGGCAATAGGTGAACCATTTGTGCTACCTCACTGCTGGTGGACACGGTGAGGAGTCAGGAGGATAACCTGGACCAGGACAGATCAGGTCAAACAGTGAGGAAATGTCTAATGCTATAGCAGTGGAGTGCTGGGAGATGTGGCCAGGGAGGGTCGCGTTGTCTCCACCAGCTGGAGCTACCACAAGCCAGAGAATAAGGTTGCTCTGGTTAACATGGTCTCATTGGATGTCCAAAAGGTTTTTGGCAAAAAAATCCTTCATCAAAGGTTTTTTTAGGAAAGGAGGCTGCTGTGGGATAAGAAGGAAGGTCTCTGTGTAGATAGACAGCTAAGTTATGTGGACCATTGTGGTTGTCTTGTCCCAAAAAGAACTGGAATGAGCAAGGGTTGAGATTGGCCCTTTATGAGGAATAACTCCATAGGCTGAGACTGTTCAGCTTGAAAAAGAGATATTTTAGAGCTGGCATGACAAAAACCTGCCGAACCGCAAGTGTCAGTGCAGGTGGGCAGGGGTGGACTGCTCCTTCTTTCCTAATGCAAGAACTGGGGAGCCTCAGACGGAGATAGAGGGAGCTGGGTACTGCAAAAAACCATGAGAGGGTGATTCTTCAGGCAGTTTTGAGTCCTCACTGGACAACATGGTGGGTTCAAGAGAGACAGGGCAAGTCTGTGGAAGACGACCCCTTTACAGGGTTGCTAAATGTACAGACATCACATCTAGCTTGGGAAGTACCTGAGCTGTGAATAACTGGTGTATAGGGATCAGTGCTGGAGAACGTCGCCTCATTCTCTTCTCAGTTGGAGTTGCCTGGGTCATGATGGGAATGTCATTGCTGTTTCTAAAAGACCTGTAGCTCCTTCAGCCTGTTCACAGTCTTCCCTGGCCAGCCTGCTGGCCCTTGAATGACTATGAATTGCTTTCTCCTTCCTAGGCTGGTAGCTCTAATTCATCCTTTGCCTCTTGTCTAACACCCCTTGCAGATCCTTATGCCATCGTCTCCTTCCTCCACCAAAGCCAGAAGACGGTGGTGATCAAGAACACCTTGAACCCCACCTGGGACCAGACACTCATCTTCTACGAGATAGAGATCTTTGGGGACCCCCAGAACGTGTCTGACTCCCCTCCCAACATCGTGGTGGAAATATATGACCATGACACCTACGTAAGTGTGTCGGCATGAGCTGGACCTTCATGGTACGAGTGTGCTGGGGTAAATGGGACAAACTCATGGCATCGCTCCTGCCCTCTGGAGTGCAATGCTGTAACATCTCTCGGTGGCTCAGACAGTGAGAAGGACGCTCAGAAGATGAAAATTCAGCAAACAGCTTTGCTAGTGATGTCCTTGGTGGCCCTGCTCTAGTTACCAAAGCTGCACCTACCCTGTGTTTTGCAGAGTGGCCAAATTAACTATATTTCCTTGTGGAAAAAGCTTGGAACAGGACTTAAAGCAGTCATGCAAGCAGGGGACGGTACCCTGTTGTTTGCTCAGCTGCCCAACGTTCTCCAAAGTGCCTTGTAGTGACGGCATTTGGGGGCTGGTGAGATAACCTTGAGTACTTCCTAGAACAACAGGGCTGTAGCCTGTCACAAGAGCAGAAGGGATTTCAGACAGCGTGTAAGAGCAGCGCGTAAGTGAAAAGCACTTAGAATGCATCTCAGGAACCTCTCAAGAACCCCTCTGCCCTCCCTCCTCCAAAAGGAAGCAGCAAAGGCCACTGAAGGTCCCACTGCAGACCAGTGAACGGGCGTTTTAAGAGCTGCTCATACTCAATGTTGTACTCGGAGCTCCTGCTCTGGAAACCGTGTGATACCATAGGAATCTCACCTCCTGTTTAAGCCAAGAAAGAGTGCGTTTCCAGCATTAGTAGTTACAGGAAGGAGTTTGCAAATTTGAGTCTGTATGGGCATCAAACCAATCTTTTTTTTCTGAACCGGTCCCATAGTGGTTCAGACACTGAGCCTGATTTTTGAGTGACAGGGTCTCAGCTGAGACGTGGGTGCGTGGTGATGGGCTCCACTGGAAAGCGGGGTGGGAAGAAACCTCCCTGTGCCTGTGATTGCCTTTCAGGGTGCAGATGAGTTCATGGGGCGCTGCATTTGCAAGCCCAGCCTGGCGCGCTCGCCGCGGCTCTCCTGGCACCCGGTCATCAAGGCGAACAGAAACGTCGGGGAGCTGCTGGCCGCCTTCGAGCTGATTCAGAGGGAGAAGGTGAGCTCCCCATCTGGACCCGATCCTGTCTCTAACTACAGCGCTGGCTTCTTCCCTTGGACCCTCTCAGCACCTGGCAGGATCTGACCTTTTCTCAGCGCTGAGTTACATCCAGTTGGACTCAGCAGCTGCCTGTCCTCGGTTCCACCAGGACGGCTGCTCCAAGCAGACCTGGCCGTGATGCTCAGCGCTGGCTGCACCGCAGCAGCGTGGTGGGAGGCGTTTGGCGGAGTCAATGGGAAGAGGCTCGGTGCCGGACCGAGGCCTGAAAACCGCTCGTGCCCTGCCAGCCCGGCCGGCTGCGGTGCTGAGCTCAGAGCTTCACGCCGCGGGAAGAGCCTGGTGCATTTGGCCGCAGACCGCTGCCCTTCGCTCAGAGTTAATTTCCGGAGGGGGTTTACGAGAGCCGAAGCGGGAGGTTACTCCTGCTCAAGCTCAGTGCTGGCCGTTCATCTAACGAGCCCCAGGGGACGGAGGCTGTGCTTCGGAGCCAGCCTGGGCGGGAGAGACTCCTCATCATGCCCCAGCGTGCTCTCGTGTGCTTTCCCACCCTCCCTGTCCCCCTGCACGCACCACCCCCTCGCCTCTCTTGTCTCTGGCTTTTCCACTGGCCGCGGCGCCTGGCTGCAGCCCAGATGTGTCTCCGTGCCAGGGAAAGTGGATGGATTGGATGGCTAAATCTCCCTGTCCTGTTCCTCCCTCCCAGCCCCGAGGTGCTCATTGGGAACGAGGGTCCCGCAGCTCCCTCCTCCCTCTCTCCGATGTAGGTCCCAGCTCCGCTGCCGGAGGGATGCTGCGCTCTGCGCGCGATGCTGCCGCAGCTGCGGGGGGTGGCTGGGCTGGGTACGAGCCTTGCTGCACCGGTGGGGGTCAGGGGATGTCTCTGCTGTCGGGACAGGGCACCAAATCGTCTGCATGCAGCCTCTTCTTCCTCCTCACCCCCCTCCAGAAGTTACTGAACTGGGTGGGGAAGACCTTGGAGGGGGGAGTCCAAGGTCCTTGCTTGATCCTAGCAGAGAGCAGCCAGGCGGGTTTGTGGCTCTGCTCGTGCCCCCTTGTCGCAGGGAGAGCCCTGCCCTCATGCCTGGGCTTTCTGGAGCCCAGCGCTGGGCATGGAGGGGGCAGCGTGTGGCTGTGGGGAGACGGATGTTTCTCTGCCAGATAAAGCTGAGTTAGCACCAGGAGTGTAAATGGAACATATGTGTTTTTTCTCCACAGCCAGCCATCCATCACATCCCTGGCTTCGAGGTAATGCCATCACCCTGTTTGCAGCTCCCAGGCTTTACGCCCCTCAAACCGTCCCCTCCCCTGCCCCTACAGAGCTGCTGGGTCTCAGCACCATCAGCTGCTCCCGCTGAGGTTTGCAGTGGACTCTGTTTGCAGCCCTGCTTCTGCAGGCAGTTTGTCTGTCCTGTCTTAGCGACTTATTTTAGGATGAAGGAATTCCCATGGAGAGATGCCAGGTTCCTTCAGCTGATGGTAAAGAGGGCTGCAGTGAGTGGGGCAGCTCACTTCTGACCCGTAAGACAGGCTATCCCATTCCAGATGTAATTCTTCAGGTCTCAAACACACCGTTAGTTTTCTGCCCTGCAGTAATTTCAGCATTCCCATCGCGAAGGGCTGTGTTTCCAACCACTCCAGCATGTTTCCTACCCTGTACCCTGGCTGAGCAAAGACATTAACTGATGCCAGATTTTAAATGGTTTTAAGTTGCCTGCACTGATTTATTCTCAAACCTCGGGGGTGGTGGTGGGCAGGAACTTGGAAACCATCTTTTTTGTGTTATCAGCTGCAATTAAAAGACATAGCATGGGCTTATGGATGAGAATTGCTCTAACTTTGTACCTTCCTTTTCTTCTCCAGAGTGAGCTTTCCTCCAGCCTGGATGAGGTGAGTCCGTAAGATTTAGTTGTCTCTTTGTCTTGCAGGTTGCTAAAATTGTGCCTCCATGGGCCAACCACTTCTTTTCAGATTAGTCAAGTCAGTAGCATCAGGATTTTAGTAACCTGAGGGATCACCAGCAGCACAGGGTAGACGGGATCCGTGTTTAACCCAAGAAGCGTTCCCGATGGCAGGGCATGTCGGGTAACATTTAACCTTTGTGGGATGTGTGTGCATGAGGTCTTCTGGTGTTCAACCCTTCCAAACAAAGCATGTAAAAGCTGAAATACTGGGCTAACCCTTGGCTGGACCTCCGCTGGAATCCCAGTTGAAAAGTTTGCAACTTTTCATGGGGAATTCACCATGAACTGGGGCATGTGCTGGACTGTTCCAGTTGCTCTGAAGGAAATGCTCTCATCAGGATCCCAAGCTGATCCCTGGGCAACCTGTCAAAGTCCCTACTCAGACCTCGTGCATGCTACAGAGCAGATCACCGGCTGAACCAAACGCTGCCAGGGTAGGCTGGTATCTTGGAAAACCCAAGGCAGGGAGCTGAACAAGGAACACGTCCGCTTGAGTGTTGTGGTGGCCCTAGGGGCCAGTTAACCCCAAAGTCTGGGAGATGAGCTAGGAGGGACCCGGGGCACACAAAGAGCCTGGCTACATTTCCATGAAAGGTTGGATGGGATAAACACATTTTCGCAAGATGGGTTTCTTCCACCCAGGCAGCCTTTCCTGGTGGTGTGGGGCTCATCTTTGTGCTCCATGTGGGCTGAGATGGATGAGCTCGTGTAAACGTAATCATCTCTCTGCTCTTTCTCCTCCACTTCTTGCCACTGCCATTTCTGGATGGGGCACTCCACAGTTCTGCACCCCTGCCTTGTTCTACGAGGGGCTCCTCCAATGGGTACCTTTTATGCTCTAACACTTGACCCTCCTCTGTTCCTCTGCCACTGCCCAGAAACCAAGCAAAGTCCCAACAGAGACTCTCAGAGAGACCAGCTCCTTCAGACATGGTCTGGCCTAACCCACCTGCCCTGCAGGAACCCCATCCAGACCAACACCCATCCAAAAGAGCGATGCCAGCCTGAGGTCTCCACTGCCCTTAGCAGTAAATAACAAGTCTTATGGGGAATCTAGCTCATGCATGCATCGTTCAGGCTCATGATGTATCTGAACGATCAGGCTGGCACCAGACTTCCTTCTACTGCATTTCTGCTTGGGCTCGATCCCCTCAAGCGCTGGGATTTAAGCCCCTCTTGAAACAACGTGGCCCAGCTGCACACTCAAACTGGGAGATGCCTCCAGCCACTGTTTTGACTGGGCTGATCTGTGTTGACTTTCACTCATCTCTCTTCCAACCCTGTATCAAAGTCAGAGGTGGACTAGGTGATCTCCAGAGCTCCCTTCCACCCTGGTTCCCTCTGACTTTTCTCGTTCAAAGCATCCCAACTGCCAGCAGACCCCGCAGGTCTTTTCATGGATCTCTCCTCCACCCAACCTGCTGTGTCTGGGTTGAGAGCTGTGTCTGGGAATTGCTTGTTCCCCACTACCACCCTGAACCCTCCCCGCTCCTCCCTCGTCCCCAGGACTCACTGCTCATTTCTGTCCCAACTGGTGAAACATTTAATGCTCGTGCATTCAGCTGAGATCCAGGAGAACGACTGCAAAACAACCAGGAGAGCAGCAGGGATTGAGAAGGACGTAGGAATGGGTAGTGCTGGCTGAAGACGTTGCAGTGTTAGGAGCCAGGCGTGCACTGTTGGCTTTCAAAGCTGCTGCTGAGCCTGGGGAGGATGCAGGCAGGAGATCTTTCCCCAAGGCTCTGCCCTTTTCCCATACAGATTTTCCAGAGGATAGAAGGATTGAAATGATCTTTAGTCCAATGACTGTAAGGAAACGCAACACAGGATATTTGCATCAGTGAAGATTTAGGAGCCCTGTTAGGGAAAAAAGCTCCCTTTTGGGAACGGATTGTGCAACATCTCACAGGGGCTGTGCAGAGTTTGAGCCTGCCTTGGGGTTTGGAGATGGGCTAGGTGACTTCTGCATCTCTACTATGCAACTTAAATGCAACTTAAGCACATTTAAAGCTAGAAGGGAACATATGGCACTAAACAAGGAAAGACTGAGGCTTTTCTTGGCTCAGTCCATGCTTAGGCACCTTGATGTGCTCTGAGTGCTTTGGGTCACAAACAAAAGCTGGGGGTAGCTCTTCAAGGGCCATTCGGTCTCTTCCTCTACCCCAAGGATGGATCAGCTCATGTTGGTGGTGCAATGCCTCATTTAGGAGTCCGAAATTAAGGTTCTGGGTAAGTGGGTTACCAGAAGTGCTGAGCACCTGAGCGATGCTGGGGATGCTCTGCACCTCTCCCTGCTCCTTAGCACTCACCTCCCTGCTAACACTAACCATTTCTGCGAGCATGTGGACCATGGGAGGTGGGACTGCCTGCCCCAGATTTACCGTCTGCCCCGTGTGAGAACCCAGACATCTGTCCCGAAATGGAGTTACCAAAAGTCTTCAGCTAACAAGCAGCTTGATTCAGCAGCCACCAGCAACTGCCAATGAAAATTAAAGCTTAACATCTAGTATATCTGACATGCCACTGTGAAAAATCCCTTTGTAGAGCATTTATATACATACATGTATAAACCTGAACCAATCCTATAATTGAAATACATATACACACACTTAATTTAATGCAATAATACTCCAGCCTGAAAAGAATGCCGGTCTCCTAAATTGGTTCCAACTGCCCTCGGTTGAGGGTTGCATTTTTAGAGGTTTTTCTTTCATTCCTGCCTTTTTGGTGACTCTGAACTTGAAGATGCAGGTCGAGAAGAACCTGAACGCTGGGAGAGCTCAGAGCCCGTCCTCTGCAAGCAGCCGGGGAAGTCTGGCTCCCTGCTTTCCTCCTTTGTGAAGGCAAATTTTGAATCCCTCGCTTGCCATCTAGATTTGGTCTCACCCTGGAGAAAATCTTCTGTACACACGGTGCATACAGCTTTATCTGAGCGCTGTCCTGTGGCCTGCAGCTTGGCAGCTGCCAGACGAGGTTTATAGCCGAGCTGTTATACACCACGAATGAACAATGACCCCTTCCTGCATCCGGAGGCGATGCCGACCCTCCGTCCCATGGTGCTTCCCCCACTAAACTGTCTGCTGCTCTTCGGCAGCTGCTCACAGCATCTCGCTCTGTCCAACTCAAGGAGCTGTATTTCACTAATTAACCCCTTGCTGCTGCTTTGTCTCCTCTCCTCATCACTCTGGTTAACTATCTCACTGAGGTCCTGGTGAGGTCCTGGTGTGGGATAGATGCTCTTTCATGCCCTCCTCCCCTAAAGGAGGCTGAACCTTGATGGAGGGCAGATCTCTCCTCGTTCCCCGGGAAAGGCTCGGGGATCGCTCTCAGCAGTAGACGTTTGATCTTTTCCAGGGTCAGATTAAAGGGAGAGAAACAGTTTGCAAGTGCATTCATCCCCCCAGCCCTCTTCTCCCCCTGTCTGGGTGTCCTGGATGAGTTTTGCAGAGAGAAGGAGACTCTGGGGGGACACAGCGTGGGGAGGCGGTGGGGTTGGTGTCCCATCATGGCACGACCTGATGTGCCCTTCGCATCTCTGCTCCCCTGCAGTCCGCAGACTTGGACCTGCCGTACCCCCCACCCCAGCGGGAGCCCAACATTTACATGGTCCCCCAAGGAATCAAACCGGTCCTGCAGCGCACAGCCATCGAGGTGAGTGACGGGGAGCGCACGAGGAAGCTCGCCCCTCGCAGAATAACCCCCCGAACGTGTGTCTGTAACAGGGGGGATGAGACGCCGAAATGGGATCCAAGCCAGACTCTGTGGTTACAGAGTTCCACTAGTGCTGGGAGCTGGTTCTGCTCATGGGTTATCTGTCAAAAAATGTTATCTTGCTGGGAAAGCGAGTCTCACCAAGCAGTCAAGTTCTAGGGCAGAGCACAGCCCTGGACCATGCTTGCTTTTTAGAAGGACAGTCTGCCTCACACCAGGATGATATTAGCCCAAAGCAGAGATGCTCCATTAATAGATAAGCAGTTCTGGACCTGGTGTATTGGTGCATACAGAGAACCGCTTGCTGTGCGACCTGGTTTCTCCCAGCACCAGGTGTCCTACATGGTTGATTCATCTCCCCATCATGGTGGGCCAACCTTCAGGTTTACCTCCATTGCTGAGAAGCTCAGTGAGAGACCTGGAGGCAGACCTTTAGCTCAGTCTTTGCTGTCTGTTCCCCTCACCCTTCAGATCCTGGCCTGGGGGCTGAGGAACCTCAAGAGCTACCAGCTGGCCAGTGTCACCTCACCCAGCCTGCTGGTGGAGTGCGGAGGCCAGCTCGTGCAGTCCTGCGTCATCAAGAATGTCAAGAAGAACCCCAACTTTGACGTCTGCGTGCTCTTCATGGAAGTGGTGAGGACCTGGTCCCCACTCTGCAGTGATGGAGTCATAGCAGAGCTGGTTGGGAAGGACCTCTGGAGGTCCTATAAAAAAATGCATCCTGTGGTGAAGCTAATTCTGTCCTGCTCAGCCTCAGTTCCCTTTGGAAAGGTGCAGAGCAACTGCCTTCCCTGCCCTGCGTAGTTATGTGTTCCCTCCCCTCTGCCCACAGCGTTTACCCAAGGAGAGCCTCTACAGCCCCCCCATCATCATCAAAATCATCGACAACAGGCCGTTTGGCCGAAGGCCCGTGGTGGGGCAGTGCACCATCCGATCATTGGAGGACTTCTACTGTGACCCCTACCAAGAGGAGACGGACGGTCCCCAGGACCACTCGGGTACGTGCTGCCATGAGGACCGTGCTGGCTGCACACCCATGCCCTTCTCCAGGAGGAGCTGTGGGTCGCTGTAGGCGTTAACTTTTAGCTCAGCCCACCTGTAGGTCTGATACAAAAAGCCCAGGAGGGCTTGGAGGAGGAGTTTAGCTCTGGGTTTGGTTGGTGAGATGGGCTGTCCTTTGGCCAAGCTCTTCCACCTGCATGGACGTGAGCTTTGGCTGGTGTGAAAGCTCTGGGCAAGGTTGAGATCGCTCCTGGAGCTTGATCCCAAGGTGTCTCGGCTTTGGGGTTTCTAACAGCTGGATGCCCTCATCATACTTATGCTTGCTCTGATTGCAGATGACGTGAGCCTCACGCCCAGGGATGATGTCCTAATTGACATTGATGACAAAGAGCCTCTTATTCCTGTCCAGGTATGGAAAAAATCGCCAGGGTGGGAATACAGCGGTGTCTGTCTGTGTGTGATATGGGGAAACTTGTGCAGGGCTGGGGTGGACGTTGATGCAGATCTCTGATGGGAGGTCGTGTCTGGTTGTAACCTTACTTCTGCAGCTTCCACCTCTGTTTTCACCCCCTCTCCTCCACCATGCCATAACGAACAACCACAAACTCATCCCTCTGCCCTACGTTTAATACGAGGTGTCAGATTTGCTTTTTTGGGGGAGAGACGACAGACTGTCTCCATGTCAGGCTCTTCCCTCCAGCGTCTCTTCCTCAAATGTGTGGCTTGCTTTGAGGCTGAAAGAGGTTTACACTCCCCCTCTTAGGACTCTGCTGTGCGGGATGCTCTCTTGGAAATCAGAGTCACTGCCCCAAAGAGCTGGCAGCCTTGAGGGGACTTACTGTCCCCAGTTTTGCTCCTTGTTTGCAGGATTCTCCGCTGCTTCCAAACCCACTTTCAGCAGCTCCGGTTACTCTGCAGAGGGTCGCGGTGGACGCCGTGAGAGCAGAATATCCCGCGGTGGTGGGAGCGGGACGTGCTTTAGCAGGGAAGGAGAAATGTGTTGCTGCTGTTGCAGAAAGCAGGCTTCTCTGTGCCGTGAGTTTGAGGGGTCTCAGCTGTCCCTCATAGCTGGACCAGGCTGGGCATGCCGCTGAGATTGCGGTTCCTCCTTCCTGAAGCACATCTGGAAGGTGCCTGGCCATGCGGGTGACACTGGCCCTGCTGGTGCTTTGCGTTTCTGTAGCCCTTGGGTTTCTTCGCCAGCAGATGTGCGCTCTTTGAGGCAGACGTGTGTGATGCACAAATCTGTAGGTGACAGAAAAATCAGCTGATTGCTCAGGAGCAGCTGAAAGTGTTGTCAGAGGCATTTGGTGGAGCTTTTCCTGGTCTCCTACTCCCTTTGGTGTATTTAACGTGCAGAAGCTTTTCCTTCCTCCCTGCGTGAAAGGCTGTGGGTGCTGCGTGGTACCTCGGGCTAGAAAAGCCTGAGCTTCCTGTAAGAGATCTGCCTCTGAGGTGTGCCTCTCGCCTTGCTTTTCGCTGCCCGTAAAAGCAAGATGTATAATTTGGACCTCAACTGCTTCTGCTCTTTATTCACCTCCTTGGTGACACCTCAGCGTTTCTATTCACGAGGACTTTACGATCCACTGATCCGTGCCATCAGATATCTGTGGCTGATGTCCCAAGGTGGGCTCAGACTGGGGTCCCAGCATCAGGCTGTCCCCTGGACATTCGGAGCTGGAGCTGGAGCTGCATCCTTGCTGGAGCTTGCATCTCTTTCCTTGCTGCATCCCTCGTGCGAGGCTGGCTGCTTTAGGTTGGTGCCGTGCAAGTCCTTCCCGTGGCCGAGCAGGCATTGCTTAAGCAGGAGCACACGTTGCACGCTGCAGCCTCTGCCCGATTCAAGGCTTTCAGGCTTTGAGCTAAGGAAAAAATCAAGATTTTGGCCGGTGCTCGGCAAAAGCTGTGGGTGTGGGACTCCAGCCTGGTGCGGTCTCGACTGCAGCTGGCCCTGCTCATGCCTACCTGTCCCGAGCACTGATGAGTTCCAGGCTGGTGCGGTCCTCACGGCAAGGCACGTCAGACGGGGACACGGCTTAGTGCTGGACTTGGCACTGGTAGGTTTACGGTTGGGCTCGATGATCTTACGGGTCTTTTCCAAGCGACGTGATTCTATGCAATGAGCTGGTCTGTTGGGTTCCCCACCAGCCAAGAGGTGGGACGTTCGTACGCTCAGCTCCCTGGGATGCTGGCAGCTTGTCCTGAGATGCTTCAGTATCGATTAGGAACTGGACGCTGGAGTTTGCAAACCTTGGCCCAAGTGAACAAGTGTTGTTAAAAGGGAAGCTCCAGACAGAAAATATTACTGACAACCTAATTGGCTTTCCGTTCTCCTGCCATTTGTGGATTTGTCTTAATAATTTGCAATTGTGCTTCGTCGTGTATCAGTAAAGTAACTGGAGCATGTCTGCAAAAAAACACACCAAAATGAGTCTTGGAACGGGAACCTTCACTTCTGCAAATAAAAAAAAAAATAATCCCTTTTTCTAGCCTAGCACAGAAGGCGCTTGGGAGAAAAGCGAGGGGGCCAGGGAGTAACGTGCGTAGCAGGGTGGGGGTGCAGGTCAAGCCTTTACACCTGATTAGCCGCGTGGTGCTGGGCGAGCGATGTCCCTTGGCCGCTCGAAGGAAGCCGGTGGCACCTCGCGTGTCCCCCGAGCCTGCAAGACCCTCTGCGGGGATGGCTGCGGGCGGGAAAAAAGGGACCCCCAGGAAAAGGCCCAGAGCCCCCACGGGTGGGTCTGCTGCTCCCGTGGTGGCGGTCACAGACCTAATTCAAGGGCCGGGAGCGCGTGTGAAGGATGGGACGGTGCTGCCTTCCCGGGGGAGTTTGCTTTAGCCGTGGGCTGAGACCCCAGCAGAGGGTTTGTCTGGCCCCCTCCTGACCCGCGGC